TACTAGACCTCAGTGCTAATTCGCCACTAAGAATATGGACGGTGATGACGATGACAACTGCTATTGCTCTGAATTTGCCTGCACATTCAAGATCATGTTTATGCACAGCACATTCCCTTTTATTTGCAGAAGCACCTTTCATGCAACATACTTGAGAGTCACCCCCTCCACACAAAGTTTCCACATGCTTGTCTGACCTGCTGGGAAATTACCCAAGCAGAACAGCTGGGAGGGGGCCGTCATGGGGCAGGACTCACCACTGTGGAGCCTCCTGCTGGTAGCTCCGGAGAATTAGTTCTTTCATCAGCCAGGCACCTCCTCCTGTCTGGTGTCTCCCACATCCTTGTTCTCATCCTGGACTGCAGCATCCTCTTCAGGACCCAGCCCTCCAGCAGCACCCACTCCAAGGCTACGTCTACACTGGCAGCTTCTTGCGCAAGAACTCTTTTGTGGAAGAGTCCTTGTGCAAAAACTCTTCCACAAGAGAGCGTCTACACTGGCATGTGCTTTTGCGCAAGAGCATCCATGACAGTGTAGACGCTCTCTTGCGCAAGAAAGCGCTAATGGCCATTTTAACCATAGGGGCTTCTTGCACAAGAAATTCATGTTGCCTGTCTACACTGGCCTCTTCTGGAAGAGCTCTTGCACAAGAGGGCTTCTTCCTAAGCGGGAGCGTCAGAGTTCTCATGCAAGAAGCCCTGATTTTCTACAGTACAACGTCAGTGTTCTTGCGCAAGAACGCACGGCCAGCGTAGACAGGCAGCATGTTTTTGCGCAAGAACGCATCAGTGTAGACACAGCCCAACGGTCTCTCACACCACCAAAAGGGGTATCAGCAGCCCTACTGTGGCCTCCAAGCCCAGCCCCTCTGTCTCAGGGGAAAGCCACAGTTTATGTGGGCCACACCTTGGTGGCCTGATGTGGTGTAAGGAGCAAGGCAGAAACAAGACCCAGGCTTGCCCACTATTCTGGGTACCAGCTCAGGATCCCTCTGGCAGCAGCCCTGTCCTGCCTCTAGTCCATGGAGCCACTTCTCCTGTGACCCCTACATCCTCCTGGCAGATGTCAGTCTGGGGCCTTCCTCTGTTCCCCAGCACTGCTCTCTCTAGGTGCTTCTCCCTCGGTGCAGGTATGGATGCATGCTCCCTCCTTCTCTGTGCTGGGCAGCTCCTTATATAGGGGCCCATGCAAGCTGCCCTCTGACTGGCTCTTTCCAAGCCCTTTCTCAATTGGCCAGGGCTTTGTGCCATCCTCTCCCCCTTCCCCCCCCCCCCCCGCCCTCTTTTTCCCCTGGTG